ATATGACCTGACTCAGTTTTTTGTGCTGATTTGAAATATGGCATTTTTTCAAAGTCAAACGACGCACTTTCTGCCTCAAAACCATCAAAAAACGGGCAAATTGACTGTCCAGCACAGTAGTTTAAGCAAAAGTGATTCTTAAGACACCGAATTCTAAGTTGAAAATGGTGTCATCAGAGAGAACACATTAAACTACCTATTCAGCAAGTAAATCGGGCAGGTGCACCAGGAAAAGCTATAGCTTCGAAAGACTCGAAGAATCATTATTTGTACCAATTGACACAATTGGGGCGGTGTTTGGCATTTATCGACAGAAAAAAAATATCAATGTCCTAGAGGACCTTTTAGATTCTGATAGAGAATTAAATTCTCTATCGAATGAGCTTTATTTTCACAAGTTTTGTTCCAACTTTTATAGACTTTCAAATTTAAAACTCATTTTTACGGCTTCCAAAGACTACCTCAGATCTTCCTTATTATCCGAGTTCTTTTGAAAGTTAATATGATATTTGTAATCAGCACACATAGCGCTATCGAGTTACAGGGACTTCCAATGAAGTGACGAGAAAAACGTTTTTTTGAACCCTGAGGGGGACCACAGGGGTCAAAAAATTCCGTTGTGATAAAATGTGAAATAAACTTGTGAAAAATAATCAGGGATCAATGCTGATAATCGGGCTAAAAGAATTAGGCCGATCTTCTTTTGGATCAGCACCCCATAATTTGACGCTGCTCCTTTTTTCTGCCGAAAAATGGGTTTCTGCATTAAAAAAATTTTTCACAAGACAAATTCTCTTCAAAAATAAGACTTGAGGACCGCAATCCACACCCTGCACACACATACACTTTGAGTTCCCAATTCCCAATGAGTTCACGACTCCTGGGAATTTGGCCACGTCTCAATGACCCTATACATAAATGGGGGTCCTAATGCAGCGATTTTCCCACGAATTCCTCAACCAAATGAGCTGAAATTTTCTACTGCCATATATCTCAGTAAGTTCCATTTGCCATACAATTTTCGTTTTCCAATATGGAGCTATTTGGATTTTATGAAGCACTCAATATATGAAAAAAGGTTCGTTTTCGGTAAATCTGGCGCTTCACAACTTTTGATAGAAATGACATATAGGTCTGAAACTTCCACTGTTGATAGAACAATGAGAGATGTATTTCTCCTGAAAATTTCAGCTATCCATACCGTTCCGTTTGCTCAGGACAGCTCCGTGAAAAACGGAATTTTGATAAATGTGAGGACTTTCAGGGTAGGCTTTCTCCCACAAAATGGATTCTCTGGGGTGTTGGTTATTAGAACTTTCAAGTGCTTTCTTTGGGCTACAATTCTCGTTAAATTAATCACACTTCTATTTAGTGGAGCGAGACTAAAGGTGCATTGGGAAAAGTTTATTTCGTTTTTAATTTTTATTGTGGAGACTATTAAATAATATTTAGTTTATTATTTCTTTTGTTTTCTTGATATAGTTAGTAATGTTTTGGTTTAGGTTGTTTATGGTGCAACGATGAAAATGAAATTCCCAAAAAGTATTTCAATAGCAAAAATTAATATGTATATATGAGACATATATAATGGTAATGGAAACAAAGAAAACGAGCTTTCAATAATTGTGCAACCAAATAACAATTTTTGCCAACAAAATACTTGCGACATATGCTCCTTTTACAGAATTATATATCAATTGATTTCGGAGAATACACTTTCAGATTTATGAAATTTCGAAGATTTAGCACCAAACGCAACATACAGCCGTCATTCATAATCATATATTGTAATGTACTGACATCTGTCGTTCGTTTTATGTACATTTCATTTCTTTCTAGATGAAAGAACATATTTTATATTAATATTAAATTAATTTAATTATAGTGAACTATCTTTGCGATCGTTAATTATCGATCTTCACTCTCAAGCGCCTCGTCAATAAATGATGGCTCTCTCGAAATATCCCTCGATATCATCTCCTATTTTCTATTAAATCATCATTACGTTGAAATCGGAAGCATTAGGTAAACAAAAAGTATTACTTTTAGTTCCAATTTATTCGTAATCAGGTAAGGATTTACGGATAATTCAAACAAAATGTCTTATAACTGTATCAATTCTTCCACTAACGAGAAATAATACAATTTCAGATGATAGTAAAGTTTTTCTTTTTATTTCAGATTGTTTAATTATTTAGTTTTTTTTGCTTCCAATGGCTCGAAAAAAATCATATAGTACAAATGCAACACAAGATAAAGAAAATGTGAATAATAAAAGTAGGTTTCATATTTTGCGTCTCTTATGATAATACGATATCTAATTTTAGATTACGTACAAAACAAAAATTTTCCAAGGAAAATTCCAAATAATTCGAACACAATCGGTAGTTTTCTTTTAGTTGGCACACCACAGGAAGAAAAAACTACAATTGATGAAAATATTCATTCATTGATACAAGAAGCTGATTCGAAAGAAAAAGAAATGGACAAATTGATCTTTTGTGATATTTCAAATAAAAACGATGAACTTGATGTAAGTCCTAAACATGCAAATACAGTTATATATGATTTAACAAGTACGATTTCATTTATTTTCTACCGATTTATGATTCATTTATGTGTTTAGGTCCTCGAGTTATTGTTGATCAAAAACGACATATTGAAGAATCATCTGATTCAATTCTGGATGAAAACAATACCGATGAATTAGTTCGATTAAAAAAAAAATGTTTAGAGATCGAAAAAAGGGTTGAAGTTCTTGAACTGACATGGATGCGTAATGATATAAACTGTAATTGCATTACTTTTATTGATGTCTTTCATTTTTTATTTAGCACGTCCAGAGCATCTGGACACGGTTCAAAATATCTTTAATGGCATTATAGAAGATATCAATAATGATCGTGTTGCTATGAACAATAAAATGTCAGATTCAAATAATGGATTAAATATTGATTCAGAAATTTTATTTGCATTAAAAAAAGATAGTTCAACTGCAACTGCTCGTAGCATATTGAAATATTTGTATCCACATCCACCAGGTAACTTTAAATTATTCGATGTTGATCCAGCACTTGTTGCTGATATTGTTCGTAAGTGCAGTTTTTTTTTATTTTCATAATTTATTTGTATTTGTTATATAGGTTATTCAAAAAAATGTCATCTTGATGATGCATCAACAACATCTCGAATTCGTCATGCTATGTCCAATTATTTCGCATTAATTACGTATAAAAAAAAACGGAAATCGACTATTTCGAGTACAACTATTCAGAATCAATAATGACCATTTCGTCGAATTGAAGGAGAAGAAAAACTCTGAATATAGTTTTTTTTTCATTGATTTATTAAAATATTCAACTTCTTTTTTTTATATTTCGGATTTTTCGTTTCACTTTTTTCTTCTCTGTAATCCTTGGCAGAAGCACTATTGTGACATACATCGTTCTTCTAACTATTTCAAAATTCCTTTTTTTTCGTTATATCATTCTGGAAGTTTCGCTTTTGTTTTTTATTGATGATCCATTACTTACCTAGTTTTCATTCACTTTTTTTGCATTTAAATATGCGATTTACTTTTTGATGAAAAGGTACGATTTTTATACGAACCAATCATGCTCTTCATCAAAATACTGATTTAACATATTGAAATAAAACTTCTGCTATTGATCCACTATGATTCATCTTAGTAATCGTGTTATATCTAATTTAATAGCTTCTAACGAAATTTACCTGAAAAATAATAATAACCGCAAAAACAAATAAAAATAATAATAACCGCAAAAACAAATAATAATAATAATAACCGCAAAAACAAATAAAAATAATAAAGTAGACAAAAAAAACATAAAATTAAGAATGAAGATGAATAAAATAAGATTAGTTTCAGCAGTATTCCTAATTAATGAATAAAAACACTTAATGAAATGATTCTTTATTCGATGATATTTGTCTAGGAATAAAATACTGAATAATGAATTTTAATCTCCTCATTCTTTGAAAGATAAAACGGTGAGTAAGGACAGTTTCAAAGAAATTCCACGAACAATATGATAATTAAAAAGGAACATAAATCCAATAAAGAGAAATAGAATAGCTAAATAAACAAGAAAAAAACATATACTTCACATCTATTTTATTTATCGTTGATTTGTATTAGAATAAATCGATATAATCAAGATGAATTTTCCGTGGCTTGGGATCGAATATAACGACGAGCAATTCTCCTTAATTCTCTGCGACGTTCTTCAATAAGAAAATCAGATAATTTTTTTCTCAAAATATTTTTATAAAATGCCGAATATTTGCTCGAGTCAAGCTTAAATTTGATACGAATAGCATCTTGATAAAAAATAAAAAATATTTTCATATTATTGAAACATATAAAATATAATCAAATACCATTTACTAATTGAAATTTTTTTTCATCTAAACTTGATCGAGCCAAATAAGATCTTTGTGGAGGAAGAATTTCTGTTTTCAATTCATGCTCGCTAAAGACAATCCGCATGGTTTTGCGGGCAAAATCTCCAATTGATGATGCTACTGTTCCTAATAGATTAATATTCTCGTGTATCTATCGGTAAAAAAAATTCGTTTTTATGTNTCGATTAAAAAAAATGTTTAGAGATCGAAAAAAGAGTTGAAGTTCTTGAAATGACATGGATGCGTAAGGATATAAACTGCAATTGCATTACTTTTATTGACGTCTTTCATTTTTTATTTAGCATGTTCAGAGCATCTGGATACTGTTCAAAATATCTTTAATGGCATTATAGAAGATATTAATAATGATCGTGTTGTTATGAACAATAACAATAAAATGTCAGATTCAAATAATGGATTAAATATTGATTCAGAAATTTTATTTGCATTAAAAAAAGATAGTTCAACTGCTACTGCTCGTAGCATATTGAAATATTTGTATCCACATCCACCAGTTAACTTTAAATTATCCGATGTTGATCCAGCACTTGTTGCTGATATTGTTCGTAAGTGCAGTTTTTTTATTTTCATGATTTATTTGTATTTGTTATATAGGTTATTCAAAAGAATGCCATCCTGATGATGCATCAACAACAGCTCGAATTCGTCATGCTATGTTCAATTATTTCGCGTTAATTACGTATAGAAAAAAACGAAAATCGATTATTTCGAATACAAGTATTCAGAATCAATAACGGCCATTTTGTCGAGGTGAAGGAAAAGAAAAATTCTAAATATAGTTTGTTTTCATTGATTTATTAAAATGTTTAACTTCTTTTTTTTATATTTCGGATTTTTTGTTTCACTTTTTTCTTCTCTGTATTGAAAATCCTTTGCAGAAGCACTATTGTGATATACATCGTTCTTCTAACTATTTTAAAATTCCTTTTTTTTCGTTATAGCATTCTGGAAGTTTTCCTTTTGTTTTTTATGGATGATCCATTGTTTACCTAGTTTTCATTCACTTTTTTGCATTTAAACATGTGATATACGTTTTGATGAAAAGATACGTTTTTTTATACGAACCAATCATGCTCTTCAACAAAATACTGATTTAACATATTGAAATAAAACTTTTGCTATTGATTCACTATGATTCAACTTAGTAATCGTGTTATATTTAATTTAATAGCTTCTAACAAAATTTATCTGAAAAATAATTGCGAACGCAAAAAACAAATAAAAAAAATAAAGTAGACAAAAAAAACATAAAATTAAGAATGAAGATGAAGAAAATAAGATTACTTTCAGCAGTATTCCTAACTGATGAATAAAAATACTTAATGAAATGATTCTTTATTCGATGATATTTGTCTAGGAATAAAATAATGAATAATGAATTTTAATCTCTTCATTCTNGTCAAATGTATTGGAAAGTACTCGCCAGTTGAAGCTCTTTCATCCTATATATGATTGTGCTGGATATAGTATGAAAAGTCCAATGGGCCAAATTACGGTCTTATGCGCCCCCGTCCTTTATCTGAAAAATAATTGCGAACGCAAAAAACAAATAAAAAAAATAAAGTAGACAAAAAAAACATAAAATTAAGAATGAAGATGAATAAAATAAGATTACTTTCAGCAGTATTCCTAACTGATGAATAAAAATACTTAATGAAATGATTCTTTATTCGATGATATTTGTCTAGGAATAAAATAATGAATAATGAATTTTAATCTCTTCATTCTTTGAAAGATAAAAGGGTGAGCAAGGACAGTTTCAAAGAAATTCCACGAATAATATGATAGTTAAAAAGGGACATATAAATCCAATAAAGAGAAGTAGAATAGCTAAGTAAACAAGAAAAAAAATATATGCTTCACGTCTATTTTATTTATCGTTGATTTGTATTAGAATAAATAGATATAATCAAGATGAATTTTCCGTGGTTTGGGTTCGAATATAACGACGAGCAATTGTGTTTAATTCTCTGCGACGTTCTTCAATAAGAAAATCAGATCATTTTCTTCTCAAAATATTTTTATAAAATGCCGAATATTTGCTCGAGTCAAGCTTGAACTTGATACGAATAGCATCTTGATAAAAAATAAAAAATATTTTCATACTATTGAAACATATATAAAATATAATCATATCATTGACTAATTGAAATTTTTTTTCATCTAAACTTGATCGAGCCAAATAAGATCTTTGTGGAGGAAGAATTTCTGTTTTCAATTCATGCTCGCTAAAGACAATCCGCATGGTTTTGCGGGCAAAATCCCCAATTGATGATGCTACTGTTTCTAATAGATTAATATTCTCGTGCATCTATCGGTAAAAAAATCGTTTTTATGTGAAAGGATATTATTTTTACCAATTCTTTATCAAATTGTTCATTAGATTCATCACGATATTGATCAAGCAACATCTTGTTCTAAGAAAAGAAAAATTGTTCATGCAGGTCAAGGCGGAACAAACTGATTTCTAATACCAGAAATGAATAGAAGTCACGAGAAATCATAGGAAATCATCAGGAATCAATAGAAATCACTGTTATTCAATAACAAACTGCTTCTTGATTTCTGATGATTTCTGATGGTTTCTCGTAATTTCCATTGACGTCTTCGATTTCTGGTATTAGAAATTAGTTTGCTCCCCTTGATACAGATTAATAAAGAAAAACTAACATATATGGACGATGCTGTTAGATGATCTATTTTCTTAGTTAAACGTGTCATTTTTTGATCGTTTTTATTGTCAATGGAGAGTAATTTGTTTTCCAACGCTGAGAATTTATTTTCAAGGGCGTTGAGAATAGAAACACCTAATATGAATGAAAGATTTTTCATCTAAATTGATGGTAGTAATAATAATTACCGGAATAACTTATTTCAGATTGCGTGTCTAGTTTCCTAGACTGTACATGATTATCATCTACAAAAAAATGTGTAATAATACCAGAAGATGTACGGTAGAAGGCTAACCTTTTTTAACAATTCGTTTTTTTTTCACTCACATGATCAGCTGTAGATTTTCTTTTATTTGTATTATTTTTTTTTATCACTTTCACGTATTGATCTGATAAGTCGTCATCTTCGTTGTATTGTTCATTTTCTTCTTCCTCATCTTCTGCTGAAAAATAAATGTTTATTTGATTAGAAAGAAATATAAACCAATAATTTCGTTTAATTATTTACGTGATGATTCAAAATCCAGTACAGCTGATGAATCCTGTGCAAAGTGAGATTGAGTTGTAACTCGATGTTGTGTATCAACCGTCGCTGCATCATTCTCTACATCATCATCACCTTTCTCAGAATCGATTCCATCTACAATATCAAATAATTAATGCAAGAGAAAGCTAGAAGAATTTTACTATTATTATCTTGTTGAGATAGACGTGTTCTTCGACTCATTTCCTTCTCACATTCATCAAAAGAACCTAAGGAAAGAGAATAAAAAGATTGAAATGAATGATTAAATTTTAAAAAATCACCAGTAAGAATAGTTTTTCCTTTGAGTTGTTTGTTACGAATTGTAATTGTTGTTGAACCATGATCGTCAACACATTTTATGTTGCTTTTAGCTACAATTTGATATGTTTCAGTTTCATTCAAAAGCAAAAGATAATATTTTGGATTTATAGCTGATGGTTGTTGTGTTGGCGTATATATCTTGCGAGGAATATGTTTACGTCGACCTTCAATATTTGTGGAGTACATGTTGAAGAAAAAATATCTGAAATAGCGTAAAATATAATATTCATTTTTGTGTAAGCTTGAATTGTATTTACTTCCAGTTACAGAACTAAAGTTCCAATCCTAAAAAATATCCATGAAATTCTACCTTTTTTAGAGCTAAATGTTCGGATAAACTTGGATTTTCAGTAGATTTAGACAGGAGAACACCTTCAGATATTCAAAGTGCAAATAACCGTACTAGATTTAAGATAGATGGACAATGATGAAATGGAATACACCATTTCTTTAATCATGTTCATAGGCTTGAGAAATAGGAGTTACAAGGATAAAATCATCCTTTTTAAATATAACACATATGTTTAATATTTTATTAATTGGTACATAATGAAATGATGATGGTTTTGCTTAAAGTAAATAAAAGTACGTATCGATATATTTTGATAAGGATGAATGGTAAGAAGAAGAAGCAAAGACATCGGAAAATAGATGTTTATTTGGATAATTATTAATAAGCGCCAAAATAGAATCTTTATATGTAAAAAAAAGTTCAATTGCTCCGAATAGTGTATTACGACGATCATTAGTGTACTTTACGAAATAACTATTAGTTGATTGTCGTTTTGGATAAGAAAGAGAATGATATGTTTGACTTTTAATGACACAACGATGATAGATAATGATACACGTTGCAGTTTGATTGCAATCGCATACACGTTTATGCCACGACAGGAGCTCGTCTATATTATTGATTGATAAGCGTGTTATATCAAAAGCTCCTTCATTACGTTTAACATTATCAACTTCCTGTTGATTGATTATTTTTTGTAAAGCAAAATCAATCTAAAGGTTAAAAAAATACAAAATGTCATGTGGCTTAAAAGAATAACGAACATTGAAATAGTGAACCAGCAAATCTCCCCAGTAACGAGTACCATGTTGGTTTTTTGAAAATGCACCAAGCAAACTTTCTTGTGCAAAACAATTTGTATTATTTAAGCTGCCATAATTAAGGTATTGAGTCGAATAGTGCATGTGCAAATGAAGAACTAAATTTTCTAGATTATAATAATGTTTACAATGATCTTTATAGTATATTGATAGTAAATCATGAGCTAAAAGACCAGTTTTATGTCCAAATAATTTTGGACCATGAAGCATCTGCTATAAAATTACAAAGAGAAAAATAATAATTGTATAATGTAAAAGAACTTACACGAACAGCACAAACGAAAAGAGCGATATGAGCAGCTTTATCAACTTGAAGATGTTGATAAAATATAGGTAATAAACCATATAACAATAAATTTTTTATTTCTGATGCTCTGAAAGAAGATTAATTTATATTACAGTAACTATTTATTCATCACTTGAAACCTGTGAACAGTCAAAACAATAAATGCTAGATAGACACTAACTCATGTAAAAAAAATTTCTCGAAAATCAACAAATAATCGATTTTTCATCGATTTTAATTATACGATTTTAATCAAAGATTTAAGCAGAAATAATCAAACAAAGATTAGAACGAAATTGATTATTTCGATTATTTTGATTATAATCGATTTCTTGCTGGACTAAAAACCGATTATAATCAAAAATAATCGAAATAATCAATTTTGTACTGATTTCTGTTTGATTATTTCTGCTTAAATCTTTGATTAAAATCGTATGATTATAATCGATGAAAAGTCGATTATTTGGTGTTTATTGAGGAAATTTTTTTTTACATGCGACTTCTTGAATATATTTTTTGGATACAACTATTAAGACATTATCTGTCAATTTCGAACTGCGTACAATATTCATATGCACTTAGATTGGTAGAAATAAAAATGGAAAAAATATCGTTAATACATATTTCATATCAGAGCAGAGTAGTGTAATAGAATCTAAATAAGTATTCGAACAAATAAATATTTAGATTAGTATTAAAACCAAATTTATCAAAATATTTTTTAAATCTTCAATCTTCTATCTATTTAAAATTTAAAGTACTAAGAAAATATTGTCTAACGAACACTTTTTAAAACTAATATACCATTAGTATTTATAAAAGTATATAATGGAATATCAGGACTTCATTATAAACACCTATGTTTAATTGAAATAAAATAACGTGATGGTTCTAATTTTTTTTCTGAAAATATCTCAATCATACTAATCATAAGAGCAGTATACAAATCGAACGTACTTCATATGTCCCGACTGGATAGGTTTCAATTTCCTATTGAATGTGTGCCGATATTGATGACACGGTTTGATGATTCTCCTTCCTTCTCTGTCTGTTCTCTTGCCGTTGTTCTAATATATCTCTCTCCTGTCTCTCTTCTATCTCTCTCCTATATATATGTGTGTTATGTATGAAGTTGGGACACTCTGGATATGTGAAGAAGCGAATAAACATCATTGCCAAGAGTGGCACAAGCTACTCGATCCAGTTTGTCGTTACAGAATGTATGTGGAAATTGTTAAAACTTTAATTGATCATCAATTTCTGATCTTTTTTTGGTACAATACTTTCATAGATTTGTAGAACAACACTACAAGTGTGTCTCAGCAATGCAATATGCATGTAGTCCATTAAAATCGAATGTGGAAGTGGTATATCAAGTATCTCATGAAAAAATGATAAACCTAAATGACCATTTATATTTTCACCTTTTACTTCAGCTTCTTTTGATTCACTTCTATAGCTGTTAATGCTTCTCATAGTTGGTACTTCTTCATAATGATACTGTCGCTTATTACACATATGAACACCTTCAATTTTACAATACCAGTACGAGTAATAACCATTGCTACCAATATGATTCAATGCGAGTTTAATAGCTGGACAATCACCGATTAATCCAAGAAAGTAAACAAACCATTGTTCACCACCACGAATTGAGAAACCTAAATTAAAAGGTAAAAGATTAAAGATCTAGTACCTTTTTGTTTGTGAAATGTTATGCCATTACAAGTGACGTAAATTTCACATATTCCAGCGAATGTTAAAGACAATTAGAAGTATGCTCTTGCTTTCTGTAGATTTATCATAAACATTTTAAACTGTTAGCCGGTAAGGAGTTATTTTTTAGCATAATTTTTTTACAAGAAAAACTCGATTGATAAGACCTATTTCGGGAACAGACAAAAGCAAATAAATTTGTTTCATATGGAAGTAAAAGGACCTCTGAACATATTAGATAATTAAGTAGATAGAACAAAATATAATTTTCGTACCTTACATGATTATGATCGAATTTCACAAAATCCGCTTTTAAAAAATCTTTGGAAAGAAATCAATCGACGAGTTTTCTTTTTAATAAAGTATTCCCTAGACTCTGTTGTGTAATGAAACTTCGATAGAAGTGAACTAAATTATTTTGGAGTCGCATAAGGTGGATACCTTGAATAGGGTTGATATCTAAATTTTTATCTTTTAGCTAGCACTACGTAATGCTTTACTGATTGACATACCTGATGACTTTAGTTTATTATTAAACTTGGAATACATTTACGTAACCAAATTTTAATAATTGGTTGTCGAGTTCCAATCCACATCGAAAGGATAATCATATTTTGTCTTTGATTACGTAGATGAGGTGGTAATTCTAATATGAAACAAGAGAGAAGCCACAATGTTAATTTTGTTGAAGTATCCAATGGGATACCATCAAGATGAATTAAAGTGCTAATAAATGGTTGATAAACGGTAGTATTTAAAAAAGAACGGTAAATCTTCTGAAATGAAATATCGTTATTTATATTGTCATATTTTTCACTTAATATCTTTTCACGATATTTAACTATATCAACAATATGTCGTTCGACTATTCCACTAAATACTATAGCATAATCAGTATCATAGATGTTCGCAAATTGTGTTTTCTCATTCGATATACATTTGAAACAGGATGTAGCTGAATATTCAATATCAAATTGACATGATAAACATACTTTTCTTTTTGTAAATAAATTTTCGATTAAACAAACAATAGGAAGAAATTAAAAAGCAGTAAAAAGATATTTAGTATAAAGTATACGTTTAAGGTTAGCAGTTTTGATATTTAATCAAAAACGATAACTTACCGTTCATATATCTCAAAAGCGAGTTTAGAGATGTTGGTAAATTGTTAGGCTGTGGCAAACCCGAATCGATTAATTTCAACATATTGGTTGAATATGTTTTACATATATTTGTTTGTCGAAAAGCACGGAGAAGATTTGTGCAAAACTACTTCGTGGATATGTCAGTGTATGAATGAAGAGGTAAAGAAACTTGTTTATTATTTGATAAAAGAAGTTCATTTATTAAATTAAAATTATCCTCTGATTGATCATCATCTAAATCATCGGTTTCTGCATTCCCAATACAATCTGCTGCTGAAATAAGATCAAAATCAATGTCATAATTGCCATGAAATGTATGCATTGTTTCTGATGAACTTAGTATTTCACTATTTGAAACGTCACACTCAGCGAAATTTTTTACTTTTCGAATAACATAAGATGATAGACCAATCATTAGATTAACAATTGTTTGTTTTCGAGAAAGATTATTTCTTGTTAAACGTCGCTGTTCATTGCGATCTTCAGCAGTCTCCATGGCCAATAAGAGCTCTACGTCCATTTTATCTAAATCAGAAAATGCCATACAGCACAAAAATGGTAGACTCACATACTACCTTTTCTTAATATTTGCGAACAATAACACGTTTAACGAGTACTATACAAAAAAGGATGAATCCTTTTAAAAATTTTATACAGAGACATTTGAGACGCATACTTTTATACTTTTTACTTTTGAATATGATGGATTGATTATTTTTTTAAGGTTTTCTTATAAAAATATTATCTACCCCACCAGGAAAGCGAGAATTTTTCGAAATATATGCTGTGGGTGTGGGTGTTGACATCGGTCTTCTCTTTATGGATACCTACACCCACACCCACCGACACCCCACACCAACACCCGTACACACCCATACCCACACGCACACCCGCAACGAAAAAAATGATTTATACGTCGTTGCTATCGTAATTTTACTTCATTCTTTACTATTTCGATTAATATTTCAAAAATTTAAAATACATTTGATTTTATTTATTATTTGTTCATAATCTTCTTTTACAAGGTCCTAAATTCATATTTTAATAGTTCGATCATTCCTTGTACCATCTGATTATCACCGAGCATTTTTCTTTTTTGGAATCATAATATAAGGGTATAGAGAACAATAAAAACCATACCATAAGACGACTTAGTAATTTCTGCAACAGTTCAGAATCATTCTCGGAATTTACATGCTAGGAATATCTTTTTCCAGTGTTCTAAATGGCATATTAAAGTTCTTCGTGAATCAAATATTTATTGTTATTGTACAAACAACAAAGCAATACTAAATTATTCTATTCTCTCTTGTTTGTAAGTCTTTCAAAAGAGTGAATGATATCTCATTTCCTACAATGATTTTCAATTTCATCAGTGTCTGTAAACATATGAAAATGTTAATATCACACAACTTAACAATATAAGTAGTGATTATCGCGTTTGTTTTCTAAAACAATAGCCAAGTATTGTGCGTCTATATTTGTAACTTGGTTATATTCAAGGTTCAATCTCGTGAATGTCTACGGGCGAAAGATAAGATAAACATAATAGATGAAAATAACGCGAAAATCATCGTATTTTTTTTCAACGTATTGGCTTCGTCTTTGATATAACTACCCTGAACATCCAGTGTAGTGAATGTCTGTACGTACACGAGTATCTATTTACTAGTATGTTAAAGATTAAACAATAGTTACTCAACGAGATATTGTGCATATTTTCCTGAGATTCGATTATCTCTGCCTTCTTCACATAGAATTAGCGTGAGGAGTGTTTGTGTGAGGTGTAAAAAAGTAACATAAGAGAGTAGTAAAAACCATTAAAATCACTGATTATATCTCAAAGCATCGTCAAGGTATTTTTCTATCCTTCGCTCCAAAATTATTTCTCAAAACATCAGCGATATACGACGAGCCTTCATCTCCAATTGCATTAAGTCCAATATTAGTATCTTTATAAAGAGTAACATATGAATACAATAGAAATGAAAAACAAGAGAAAATTAACTAGTTTTTCCTCAATTCGTCAACAAGATATTGAATACTTTTGGTTCCTATTGCATTCCTACCCATTTTCAGTGTGATCAGTATCTATACTCAGAGTATCAAACTCATCGAGAGAGAAAAAAGGAATTATCGTGTTATATTTTAGCAAATCAGAAAAGTGTTTTGTACTTTTCGTCATCGATATTATTCGAAGAAATAATCAGGTATACCCAGGTCGAAAGTGGGCCATCGGATTCTGTCGGATCTGTCTCAATCCGATGAATTCCGATGACTGAATCCGATAGAATTCCGATTGTCGGAATCCGATCGGATCACAATTGATTCCCATAATTTCCGACGCATTCCGATTACCGGATTCCGATGAAATCCGAAGGACAGATCCGATAGGATTTATTTGTCGGAATCCAGTCGGTTCCTTCAAGTTCCGNCTAATTGAAATTTTTTTTCATCTAAACTTGATCGAGCCAAATAAGATCTTTGTGGAGGAAGAATTTCTGTTTTCAATTCATGCTCGCTAAAGACAATCCGCATGGTTTTGCGGGCAAAATCTCCAATTGATGATGCTACTGTTCCTAATAGATTAATATTCTCGTGTATCTATCGGTAAAAAAAATTCGTTTTTATGTGAAAGGATATTATTTTTACCAATTCTTTATCAAATTGTTCATTAGTTTCATCACGATATTGATCAAGCAACATCTTGTTCTAAGAAAAGACAAGTAGCTCATACAGGTGAAGGCGGAACAAACTGATTTTTAATACCAGAAATCGAAGAAATCAATGGAAGTCACGAGAAATCATAGGAAATCATCAGGAATAAATAGAAATTACTATTATTCAATAACAAACTGCTTCTTGATTTTCTTGATTTCTGATGGTTTCTCGCAATCTATTGACGTCTTCGACTTCTGGTATTAAAAATCAGTTTGCTCCCCTTGATACAGATTAATAAAGAAAAACTAACATATATGGACGATGCTGTTAGATGATCTATTTTTTTAGTTAAACGTGTCATTTTTTGATCGTTTTTATTGTCAATGGAGAGCAATTTGTTTTCCAACGCTGAGAATTTATTTTCAAGAGCGTTGAGAATAGAAGCACCTAATATGAATAAAAGATTTTTCATCTAAATTGATGGTAGTAATAATAATTACCGGAATAACTTATTTCAGATTGCGTGTCTAGTTTTCTAGACTGTACATGATTATCATCTACAGAAAAATGTGTAATAATACCAGAAGATGTACGATAGAAAACTAACCTTTTTTAACAATTCGTTTTCTTTTTTCACTCACATGATCAGCTGTAGATTTTCTTTTATTTATATTGGTTTTTTTTATCACTTTCACGTATTGATCCGATAAATCGTCATCTTCGTTATATTGTTCATTTTCTTCTTCATCATCTTCTGCTGAAAAATAAATGTTTATTTGATTAGAAAGAAATATAAACTAATAATTTCGTTTAATTATTTACGTGATGATTCAAAATTCAGTACAGCTGATGAATCATATGCAAAGTGAGATTGAGTTGCAACTCGATGTTGTGTATCAACTGTCATTGCATCATTCTCTACATCATCATCACCTTTCTCAGAATCGATTTCATCTACAATATCAAATAATTAATGCAAGAGAAAGCTAGAAGAATTTTACTATTATTATCTTGTTGAGATAGACGTGTTCTTCGACTCATTTCCTTCTCGCATTCATCAAAAGAACCTAAGGAAAGAGAATAAAAAGATTGAAATGAATAATTTAATTTTAAAAAAATTACCAGTAAGAATAATTTTTCCTTTGAGTTGTTTGTTACAAATTGTAATTGTTGCTAAACCATGATCGTCAACACATTTGATGCTGCTTTTAGCTACAATTTGATATGTTTCAGTTTCCTTCAAAAACAAAAGATAATATTTTGGAATTATAGCTGATGGTTGTTGTGTTGGTGTATATATCTTGCGAGGAATATGTTTACGTCGACCTTCAATATTTGTCATGTTGAAGAAAAAATATCTAAAATAGCGTAAAATATTATATTCGTTTTTGGTCTAAGTTTGAATGGTATTTTCTTCCAGTTACAGAACTAAAGTTTCAATCCTAAAAAATATCCATGAAATTCTACCTTTTTTTGAGCTAAAATATTTGGATAAACTTGGATTTTCAGTAGATTTAGACAGAAGAACACTTTCAGATATTAAAAGTGCAAATAAGCGTACTAGATTTAGGATAGAGGGACAATGATGAAATGGAATACACCATTTCTTTAATCATGTTCATAGACTGGAGAAATAGGAGTTACAATGATAAAATCGTCCTTTTCAAATACAACACATATGTTTAATATTTTATGAATTGGTACATAATGAAAAGATGATGGTTTTGCTTGAAGTAAATAAAAGTACGTATTGATATATTTTGATAAGGATGAATGGTAAGAAGAAGAAGCAAAGACATCGGAAAATAGATGTTCATTTGGATAATTATTAATAAGAGCCAAAGTAGAATTTTTATATGTAAAAAAAAGTTCAATTGCTCCGAATAGTGTATCACGACGATCATTAGTGTACTTTACAAAATAACTATTAGTTGATTGTCGTTTTGGATAAGAAAGAGAATGATATGTTTGATTTTTAATTACACAACGATGATAGATAATGATACACGTTGCAGTTTGATTGCAATCGCATACACGTTTATGCCACGACAGAAGTTCGTCTATATTATTGATTGATAAGCGTGTTATATCAAAAGCTCCTTCATTACGTTTACCATTATCAACTTCCTGTTGATTGATTATTTTTTGTAAAGCAAAATCAATCTAAAGGTAAAAAAAATACAAAATTTCATGTGGCTTAAAAGAATAACTAACATTGAAATAGTGAACCAGTAAATCTCCCCAGTAACGAGTACCATGTTTGTTTTTTGAGAATGCACCAAGCAAACTTTCTTGTGCAAAACAATTTGTATTATTTAAGCTGCCATAATTAAGGTATTGAGTCAAATAGTGTATGTGTAAATGAAGAACTAGATTTTCTAGATTATAATAATGTTTATAATGATCTTTATAGTATATTGATAGTAAATCATGAGCTAAAAGGCCAGTTTCATGTCCAAATAATTTTGGACCATGAAGCATCTGTTATAAAATTACAAAGAGAAGAGTAATAATTGTATAATGTAAAAGAACTTACACGAATAGCACAAACGAAAAGAGCAATATGAGCAGCTTTATCGACTTGAAGATGTTGATAAAATATAGGTAATAAACCATATAACAATAAATTTTTTATTTCTGATGCTCTGCAAGAAAATTAATTTATAATACAGTAACTATTATTCATCACTTGAAACTTGTGAACAGTCAAAACAATAAACGCTAGATAGACACTAACTCGTGTAAATAGAAATTTCTCGAAAATCACCAAATAATCGATTTTAATCATACGATTTTAATCAAAGATTTAAGCAGAAATAATCAAACAGAAATCAGAACGAAATTGATTATTTCGAGTATTTGGTGATTTTTGAGGAAATTTTTTTTACATGGAACTTCTTGAAAATATTTTTGCGATACAACTATTAAGACATTATCTGTCAATTTCGAACTGCATACAATATTCATATGCACTTAGATTGATAGAAATAAAAATGGAAAAAATATTGTTAATACATATTTCATTTCAGAGCAGAGTTGTGTAATAAAATCTAAATAAGTATTCAAACAATTAAATATTTAGATTAGTATTAAAACCAAATTTATCAAAATATTTTTTAAATTTTCAATCTTTTATCTATTTAAAATTTAAAATACTTAGAAAATATTGTTTAGCGAACACTTTTTAAAACTAATATACTATTAGTATTTATAAAAGTATATAATGGAACATCAGGATTTCATTATAAACAACTAGGTTTAATTGAAATAAAATAATGTGATGGTTTTAATTTTTTTTCTGAAAATATCTCAATCATACTAATCATAAGAGCAG